TTGTCTCAGGAAATGGAAGCAGAAAAGTACTTTCAGTTTTTGAGTACTTTAACTCAAGAGATTGCAGGTTCTCTTAGCGAACCAGCACCATAGGTCGTAAGAAGAAAACTTCAGATTTCATATTGCAGCATCCCATAACGAGATCAATAACCGGGGACCATAACAATTTCCCAATTGACCTCTAAAATATAAATTCTTAAGTAATTATCTATTAAATTAATACAATTTAATGAAAAATAAATTTATCTCTATGAATATTACTTTTAGTATCAAACTTAACTAGAAAAAGAAAATACTAAAAAAGCATGTGGCGGGGTGAAATGAAAAAAGTTGTTATGCCGGGCGGATTAAAAAATTTGCAGGTTAAGCTCAACCCGTCCCGCCGCTGCCCCGCCCCATTGCTATCCCTACATTTATAGCTAAGAGAGCTTGAAATTGTCCTTCCAGTGTTGTTTTTAACTCTTTTCCCCAATAAATTTCATCTCAAGCTACATATTGTAAGAATAATATTTATCACTAATGGCCATTTCAACAACAAAACCTTGATCTCAAGCTAGTTGGGCTCCATACATATTATCATCGTGAAATATAGTAAAAACACTGACCTGTAACCGTATTTTCTTGACTTGATAGACCAAATATTGCTGAAAAATGCCTACAGAGAGAAGTCACATGCTGGAAAAGTTAGAGCTATACTGCTATAGAGGGAAGTCACATGCTGGAAAAATACAATGAAACGGAGGAGATTTAAATCTTATGATTTGCTGAAAGCATACGAAAGAAGACAGAGTATGTGACTGCATAGCGCACCTGTGACAAGAAGGAGGGCAGCATTACAACTGCAAAGAAGTGGGAACACTAATCTTTCTATAGGGTGAAATATCCATGTAGCTCCCACCGCCAAAACAGCAAAGCCTGCCTACAATTTGTCATAATTAGTTCACCTAGAAGGTGGCTAAATTTGCATCTTTGTCACAACCGCCAAGAATTCATGAACTGATACTTGCCAATAAGAAACAGTAGAAAATACTCCCAATAAGGCTCGTAGGCTTCCTATGACCGGATAGAGGTGCTTCATGCAGTACGTCCACAAACCTACAGTTGAACAAGCAGCATAACAGCAATTAGAAAGAGAAGCTGAAGTATTAAGTCAAAACAGGAATAACCTATTGTTTAGTATCATCATTTAACTTGAATAGTCATATGATTCCCAAGAGACATCTCTACTTTGCCTACAACGCAACTTGTATACCATCCCAATTCACCCCTCTATTTCTTTAATTCATTCGATTCCTTAGGGATACTTTCATATATTACAGCCGCTTAGTGTCTAGGTTCAGACTTCAAAGATCATTAGAGTATAGTCACTTAGAGAATTACAAGAAAGTCATTAATCTTTGGAAGGAGCTCATAGAAGAAACTCAATCAACTATACCTCAATCCGAAATTGTCAAGATGGAGTATATGAGTCCTCTGTATCCATGCAATACTATTTAGACCATTCCATTCCAAGCCAATGTTGCACATAACTAGTTGGCAACATCCCAACAAAGTAGTATTGGAGGATTTAACATGGGAAGAAAATAGAGATCACCAATTCTCTGTCTCATTAAATATGGCATATTTCTCATTTATGTGATATACTTTATTTTTAAGTTTGTCCCCGAAAGAATGACAACTTTCTGTATGTTTTTTTTTAAAACAGAAAAAAAAAACACTTTCTGTATGTATAGCCAATTTAACTTTGAATTTCACACTTTACCCAAAATGAGATGATTTATAGTCATCCCACTTGTTGAGACTGCACTGGGTATGACGATATGTTGTTGTTGTTAATGAGATAATTTATCGTCACACAAATGTGTATGGTTTTAAACCACAAGTTCCAAAAGTTTTTAGTTTTTCTTGAACTTTGTTCCTATCAAATATTGCCATATAAATTGAAATGGAAGGAGTAATATTTTGTCAGTTGACCACGAGCCTCTCTACCTTCATAAGGTAGGGTGAGGTTGCATACACACCACCCTCCCCATACCCAACTTATGAAATTACACTGGGTATATTGTTGTTGTTGTTAGTAGACCACGAAGTAGAATAGCACCTTTGCAAATTGCTTTCGAATCAACATGAGCACACCTTGATTAATTTAATAGGTAGATGTTATCTCCAATCAACACAAGTATTGGGTAACTCTACCTATCAAGGTTCAATTAGCCGGAGGAGTTCACCTAGTGTTGCATCTGCAAGGATTCCAGCCTTGGTCCCAACTCCCATAGTTGTTACTCAATCTCTTCAACCACTAGGAATCCCTTATGGACAATGTTATAGTCTGAACCGGAGAACCCAACCCAAAAGACTACTTATTAGATGGGAGAGCTCATTGAGCCTATAAATTCATTACTATATTTCTGTTTCATCAACCAGGAACAATTGACACTCGACAATTGTCCTTGCTTGAGGACCAACAACTTTGTTGGTCACGACTCGCACCACTATTTTTTAATCCAGGCTGGCACTCTTAGCACCCCTCTATCCAAGTTGGTCATGACTGGCATCTCATTCTTTTTAACCTTATTGTACTCAGTTGGTCACAACTGGCACCCCACTTGGATCTAGGCTACCACTCCTAGCGCTCTACTAGTAGGGCAAGATCGAGGCCCACTCTTTGTGGTCTATTAGGCCATCACTTCGAGTCTCAGTCTCAAGCATTAATTGACCAGTCCTGATATCAATTTTTGTAGACTGAACAGGAGAGCGTAATCCAAAGAACTAGCTTATTAGGTGGAACTCACCGTGGAAAATGTCCATTCAACATAAAAACCATTACTATTTCACTTATTATACATAGACGGTGACAGTTCAGGAAGGAAAAGATCAAGGGAACAACCGATTGTTGAGGTTTGAAACTCCCAAAAAAGTGATAGTTCAAGTATTTTTTGTCCATTATCTCTCGAATTAACTTGGGAGTAAAAAGATCAAAACTTTGGAAGAGAACTGCGTCATTTTGTGGACTTGGGAAATGTAAACATTCTGGTGTTGCAAACTGTGTTACATGCCAGTGGAATTGTAGTGCTTGGTAAAATATGGATCTGATAAGCAGGGAACTTGTCGGCTGAAGTTATATGATTGTGATGCTTGCAATTGAAAGTTACTCTGTCTTAGATATTTTCTTTTCCATAGATAAGTAGTAGTATTTCTCTTCTTCTGATTTTTTAAAAAAAAAAAGGTTTACATGAGTTTACTCCGTATCGAGCAGTCAGTAAGTAGCCATTGCACTTGAATAGAATTATATACGAGTTTTCCTACCATTTAAGAAGATTATGGGCAATGTGATTTCTATGAAAAAGTTCTTTAATATGCCAGAAGCTACCTAATTTTTTGAGTGGAAATGTGGCTTAGAAAAGGTAGGAGACTATTCTATTGAAGGTCTCATAGTTTCTTCTTCTTCGATTTCTGCTACTACTTGTTGTTTCTCGTATTCATTTATCACATTAGTCTACTACGTATGGTCTACTACACTTCCTCAATTATTTGTTATGCCTTGTTCTACCTCTATACTGTCTTTGAGAACTGCCTAGTTATGTGTTACCTCTCTATCTCCACGAGGTAGCGATAAAATTTACACACACAGTACCCTCCCCAGACCCTATTGTAATTGTTGTTGAGTGCCAACTGACACACAACAGGCACCCCTTGAAAATTGGAAAACTATCGCAAAGACGCCCTTTCACTTCCCAAATTCGAAGTACAGTCCCCCTTTCAACGAGTTCAAATCCCTAATTTCATTTAAACGAATATGATCCCAAAAAAATACAAGTATTTTACAGATTTTTTAGCTTGTTGAGCTAGAAAATGATGAATTACAAAATTATAAAGCATTGTTCAGCAGATAATTAACAAAATACGATATAATTGAAATTCTAAGTACAAATTACAATCAGTATAACAAATTGAAGGATTTTTTTTACACTTACAGACTGTTTCCATCTGGTGATTCTGAAATTGAAGAAGAATGTATTTCCGTAGACATCTTTTGATCTTCGTCTTCTTCGTCTAGCTCGAACGATTTTTCTCCTTCACAATATTTACAGTTTCTTCAAAAAAAATTACTTCGAAAATCACAAAAATGGTGGAGGAGACGAGGACGTTAATGATCGGGCCGGGTTAATAAATATACGATTCTGCTGGTTTTAGACCCGGAGTTGGTTATCGGGTTTAATTGGTTCGGATTTTTCAAGAATCGATTTACGTATAAAATAATAATTTTAAAAAAATTGAAATAATGCAAATAAAGTAATTTTTATTTAAATGTTTGAAAAAAAAATGTAAGATATGAAAAAATATATGTAATATTTGATTAGATGCATTTGTGTGGTGAGTTGATATTCATTTTTTATAACGATTTATTTATTTTTATGAAATAGGAATAAGGTATGCATATTTTTATCTTTACGAGATTTTACATGTGTGGTAACACTATTTTTTTGCAATAAATAGTAGGTTCGATTTGATGAAAGTGAACGATAAGTTAAGGATCTTTCGGAAACAGTTTATCTATCTTTACGAGGTAAGAGTAATGTATAATCAGTAGCAGACCTAGGATTTACGTGCAGGGGTTTAAAAAATAAATGTATAAACATGTAAATAAACCTTGAGAAATTGGACGTTTGAATTCTTATGGGTTTAAAACCACGATTGTAGCACGTTTTTTTTTTATTAAAAAAAGTGAAAAACCGAACTCAAACTAAAAAATTAAAAATATAAAACACTACCACAACAATTCAAACTGGTAACGTGAAGCGTAATTTCAGTGCCACTACGCTATCAGTTTCTCCTTGTCATTGAGGGAGTTGAAAATATATACATCTACAGAAATACAAGAAAAATAATCTTATATATAGAGTAAATTTTTACCGAAAAGGTTCACGCAGGTAAGTCCGCTCCGATATAATGTACCTCTATTTTTCCACACTCTACTTATTGGATCAATACATTAGATATATTATTGCAACAAATGATAGATTTGAATTAGTAATTTCAAAAATATAACATACGTATCCAATGCTTATTAAAAACCTCAAACATAAATCGACATAACTTACACACTAAATCCGTCTCCGAACACGATAAAAATCAAGAAGGATAAGCTTGAATAACAGATTGAACAGCATTAATGTGACTAATAGTGTGTCTACCAAATCCAGCTTCATTCAAAACATAAGCCCATTCTTTAGATGTTCTCTCTTTTCCATTGCTTGTGTGAGCCATCATCACCATATCCAACATTAAACCAACATCCTTGAGCTTCTCATTATTTGATCCTCTAATAATATTATTTTCTTCTTTTTCACCAATTATTGCTTCCAATATTATCACTTTCCCTTTGTCTTTTGGAATTGCTTCTCTACACTTTGTTAATATTTGTATACATTCTTCATCTCCCCAATCATGTAAAACCCACTAATATACATAACATATACACCAATATACATGAGGTTATGAAAATTAAAAATAAAATTGAATATAAGAAAACACTCTTAAAAAAAAAAGGTACAATAATCTGAGTCAAACGCCTTTTGAAAATAGTCATTCTACCTACAAGAGATATGAGTAAGGTTGTATGTATATTGTTGTTTGTTGTTTTAATAAAAAATCTTGACGAGATTTTCATCGAAAATTCGTGTAAGGTTAATAGAAATAGAGATGGTTTCTCACCCATACAATAATAACTTCTAACACATATACATGAAGTTATGCATAAATACTATTTAACTAAAAGCAAATTTCGTTGAAAATGTTTTTAACGGATATTTCATAGGAAATTCGTTAAACACTACTTAAAGTAAAAATTACTGAAATCCATTTGAAATTGATTCGTTAATAATGTTTTCAATATGATTTTTGTTGAAAATCTTAACGATAAGCTATTTTTTAATGAAATATCCCTCGAAAATTCATAAATAGAGATAATATAAAATATATCAATGGACAACTTTAGACCTACTCTCAAACATAAGGGCCATTCCATATTATTTTCTAGTACTTTTAGGTAGAAATTATTTTATGGGATAATGGTTAAATCATGAATGACTTTTATTAAAACAAAACAAATAAAAAGATAACTTTTTGAGTCATTTCATAGCATAAATTACTATATAAGAAATCTAACTCCCATCATAATTAAAGTATCAAATATTTTAATTAAAACAAATTGAATCCATTAAAATGACTACTATTAATATTTATTCCCTCCCACCCATATTAGATGGGAATTTTTTTTAATTTTATAATGTATTTAAGAAATCATTAATAAATTTATCAATTTTATTATTAATCATTTGTTATATTAATTAGCCTTTTGAAAAAAAAAATTGAATCTTCAAAATTTGTTTAAATTTTTCAAAAATTATATTAATTATAGGGGTAAAATAAAATAAAAATCTATTATGATTAATTAGTAAAAGATTGAATAATATAAAATAAATATTTTTAATAAAATGTCCATCTAATATGAGACGGGATTAGTAGTTAGTTACCATTAGGAAGGCAGCATCAGCTTTGGGGACATAATTAAACATGTCACCTCCAAAATGTACAACACCAATAGCATGAGGTGCAACAGAAGCAACATGAGGAAGATCTAAATTAATCCCATTAATCCAAGGAAAAGCCTCCACCAATAATCTTAGTGTTGTTCCATCACCACCACCAACATCAACCATTGTGTTCACCCCCTCGAATATCTCCGGGCAACCGTCGATAATCGCTGATACTGCAACTTTAGCATCGCACGCCATTGCGTTATTCAGGAGGTTACTAAGTCCAGAGTCAGCTTCCGCGTACTTCCAGATATCCTTTCCATGCGCTGCATCAAAGGAGGGCGTACTATTGTCCTTTGATGAAATACGCGCACTAAGATTGTGCCACGGTGCCAACATCACAGGGCTGCTTTCGAATAGCAAGAAAGCAGCCATGCTATTCTCGCCTTCTTTAATGAGAAGGCGGGAAAGAGGCGTTTGAACATAGCCGTTTTTGCCGCTTTTGGTTGATGTCTCCTTGAATATTCCACGGTTGATCAAGAACCTAGAAAAAATAGTTATCCATGTAACCATGTACGTATTATTAACATTATTATTATCACTAGATATCAGGTGCCCGCGCCAGCGCAGTCCCAATGTATGTTAGTTTTTCTTTTCCTTCCAATTTATATGACACAAATGAAAATTTGAAAAAGCGAACTAACTTTTTTATGTGTGTGTTTTTTTAAAGAAATATTTTTAGTTATTAATTTATATACCTTTTATGTCATTTTCGAATAATATATGTTATTTTATTTGTTTCATTTTATGTGATATAAGTAATCTTAGAAAAAATCAACGAAATTTCTTATATTGTTCTCACATATTTTTAGTTGTCATTTTACTGTGATTCATAATACTTTTTAATTTTTACGTTATTTTCAAATAATCTTAGTTGTCATTTTTTTTATAATCTCTTAAAGAACATGGGAAAAAATTAATAACTAATAAATGCATCAAATATGCTTCAACAAGAAAATATAATGAAAAGGTCGTCAGTTATCTTGACAAATAATTACGTAAATCTTGATACTATTTTCATGTAACTCAAAATCGAAAATCATCCATAAACTCCTACAACCCTACATATATGCATACTCTCTCGGTTATATGATATCTATTTATTCTTGAAATTCAAGCTATGTAAGACTCTCAACTATCATTAATTTTTTTTTTATAAACAGCCTACAAACACTTTTTGAAAAATAAATATATTATAGTTGTTGTTTATTCCTATTTTATTGATTGATTTGTCAAATATATCGAAAAACGAATAATTCAAATTCAACGTAAAATTAATTTAGGCATTGAATCTACTTGACACCCATAGACTCTAAATCCTGGATCTACCTCTGGATACAAATGATATTTTATCTTATGCTATACCATATAATTTCTATAGTATTCATACTTCTTAAAAATGATTCTTCATATTATTATTTAAAAATAATTATACTTTAAGTTTTTCATTACTTCAGTAATTTTTCCCCTCCCGATGTTAATTAGTAGGATAAAACATTTTCAATCTATCCGAAAACTTCATACTCAAGAAGTCAACTCGAGTTCTCTAGTTAAGGATGTATGGATATGAGTAGATACTAATCTCTTCATTACAACCCTTCGTGGACTGGTCCCTTGATATAATGAGATGCTCTTACAATCACACAAATAACTTATTTTAAATCACGAGTTTAAGAAATCAAACTTCTGGTATGTATAGATAAATATTGTTACGTAAATTGATACTGAGAGAGTAACGAATTACTAAATAATTAATCATACCTTAGGATACGATAGAGGGAAGTGGAACAACAACCAAGTGCAATAGATAGTTGATTTAGGCTAATAGGTTCTTGATTTTTTTCCAAAAAATCAGCAATTCCTAACTCAATGGCACATTTAATCACAGCCATTTCTGTGAAACCAAACACAAACTTCCACATATTTGCTTGTGCTTCATGAGATTCTTGAATTTTTTCATCATTTGTTTTTGCTTTTCCATTTGTTTCTTTCTCCATGGTGAATAAAAACTTAATTAGGGTTTTTGATTTTATTTATTTTTTTTCCTAATTCTTGGCAATACTTCAATGGGTTGGTTTAGCTATTTAAAGCACTAAAAGATCAGTTCTTGACAATTTCTATCTCTTTCTTTTTTTTTTTAAATTACTATTTTAGGACAACATGTTGGATGGTTGTTATCGCGGGGTGGGGGGTGGGGGTATCAGGAGATTTGTTCGAGATCATGTGAATTTATACTCTTCTTTCGAGATTATATGTAAAACTGTTATGTTTTATAAAAGAAAAAAGAAAGATAGAAGAGTTGTTCTTTGAAGAGCACAGTACGATGAAAGTTGTAAGTTGTGTACTGGGGAAGTTATTCTATGTAATTTTCGATTACATGGAATATGCATATTTGATTGATTTCCTTGGGAATATTCATAAATTTGAAGAATATTAAATATTTCATCAAAAATCTGCATACTATTACAAGGATTAAAACAAAAATATACACCAACTACGTAGGGACAAAAAAAGATCTATTTCCACATTACTTTTAATTTATTTTTATTTTTTTGAAATACCCGTCTGCCGAAAGAAAAAATAAAATAATGTATAAGAATATATATATTAATATTAATTGTACAACTTCAAGATTTTCTTTTAATTAAGATTAATCATGTTGCTACTCCATTATTAATCCAGTATTATATAATTAGTGAAAGGTTAAAAAATGCCTTCCGTAACCATAATAATAAATTATAAAGTGTAGATCTTCTGGATTCTTAATGACATCATTAGAGATTTATATGTTGTTAAGATTTAGAAAGACTAATTTATGTACGACAAACTTGAGATCTCTCAATTAGAGGAGGAGTCAGGATTTTCAATAAGAAGATCAAAATCTGTAAAAATAGATACATGAAGTAGTCGAAGAAGGTTTGACATCTACTAGGCTACTTTTATTGGTATCTTCTCCTCGTCTCATTTTAACTACTTTATGTGTTTCATATTAATCGTTCGCTTTACTATAAATAGTAATTATAAAATCAAGATATAGCTAATTGTTTTTTCTTTTTGTATTTTTCATTGACAATTAATTCTTTTTCTTGAAGTATAAAAAGTTTTAAAAATTTCAAAAATATATATAATTAAAGGGTAAATTAATAAAATTATTATTTTTATTTATAATTTTTTAAAAAATATGTAAATTGAAAAATAGACAACTAATATAAAACAAAAAATATATTAATTTACTTAAGAGAAGTATGCAAATTATTTAAAAGGGAAAATCAATCAACCTTTATTGATTGTTACTTTAAAATATATGCAAAATCAACCTTTAAAAGATAAAATCAACCAACCTTTATTAATTAGGAATAATTTAATAAATTATATATATCTTTTATAAACATGAAAAAATTAAAGCTATGATTAAAGTGAGACGAAAGGAGTAATTAAATAATTTTTCATTTTGAAATATTTTCCCCACAAAAGATTTTTCATCAGGAAAAATATTACTGGCTCCACAGGAACAATAATAACGTGTAACACGACAATATTTCCAGCTAATAAATTTAAATTTATTTGTCGAACCAAATAAAAAAAATCATCATTTTCTTTTTATTTTTTTAATATTTATGATAAATATATAAAATAGAATAGTTAGAAAGAGATAAAAAATGATATGGGAGAGAAGTGCGTCTGGTACTGTAAATTACAAATAAAATTAATGTTTATGAAGCTAAATTCGAAAAAGAATTTTGAAATTGATAATACAAAATCAATTTATTTGAAGATAAAACGATGTTGATAAATCAATTTTCTGTTAAAATAAAAATTAAGTAAAATTATTGATTTATTATTCGACGAGGAACACTTTTACCCTCTATTAAAATTTGATTTAATATAGAGTCTGAATTGGTCGCGATCAATAGGATTTGATCGAAATTAAGAGGAACTAATTATGTGTTAGTTCATTAAGAGCATAAATACCCACTTTTATCGCGATAACAACGTAAAATTATTGTAGTTATAATAATGGGCAAAAATTGCTTATCGAATAGTAAATGAATGATTTTAATTTTTCAGTAATTAAAATGATTGAAATAATTGAATCATTTTTTAATACTAAAGTATCTTTACTAAGAAAATGAGAAGCATGAATAAAAAGTGAAGATGAAGTTTCACGTTTATCATATATAAAGTACTTTGAAAATTAAAAAATATGTTTGAAAAGCCATAAAATAATAAAATAAAACAGTTGTTGAACTAAAACTATTTATAAGCAAATTACTTTTGGTTAGTTTAATTTGTAATCACCTAAATATTTTGAATATTTTAATAAATATATTGATCATATTTTCAAAAATATGTTGAAATGACATAAAATAATAAAATAAAACAGTAGTTAAACTAAAACTATTTATAAGCAAATTACTTTTGATTAATTCAATTTATAATCACTTAAATATTTTAAATATCTAATAAATACATTGATCAGCTAATAAATTTAGTCAAATAATTTGTCCTACTGGGAGCGAGCCGAGCGAGAGTAAAGCAAGTCTCAGTGGTGGACTGTCTTCGCGGTCTCATTTCATCGGCTTTTTCTAGGCAAGAATTGCTCGGAACGAATGGGAAGAAGTGAATCAGAAATGAACTTATATCCTAATCAGCTGTGATTCCTCTTGTTGAAAAGAAAGATGCATCTCTTTTTTCTTCAAAAGCTACCGTGCATTTCTTTTTTATAGATATACTTGGGCTGAAGAATAGGCGTGTTCTTAGGCCATCATAGAAATATATATAGAGTTGACGATGGAACGAAGAACGAAGAACGAAACTTTACAACAGAGATCCTACTTTATAATTTATCCGGTTGCTTGACAATATATTAATTTATGTGGGCAAATAATGTATGTAAATAATTCTAGATATCCTTGTCATATAGTTGTTGTTTTACTTTATAATTTATCCAGTTGCTTGACAATATATTAATTTATGTGGGCAAATAATGTATGTAAATAATTCTAGATATCCTTGTCATATAGTTGTTGTTTGTAACTTTTATGACTCAATCTACAATATATGTTAGGTACATCACATTTTTCAAAAATGACCCTCTGACCAACATGTTTCTTGATTGGTGTGTTTAATATGGAGATTTTTATTTTAAAAAAATATTTAAAAAATTTAAAATATTTTTTGAAAAAATACAAGATCTTTAAAAATGGAGAAAATATCTTTTTCAGGGAAATATGTAAAACAATCATACAAAAGATATTTTGCTTTTTCTTCTTATGGAAAGTCCATCATTTCTTCTAAGAAAATGGACAATAAAATTCTATCAATACTAAGTCATATTTTTCTTGAATTTAATCTTATTAGTCTATCGTTTTATTGAGTTGATGTTTTAATTTGCACTTAAGAGGTGAAAGCAATTAGAGCTGTCAATATGGGCTAGCCTATCCATTCGGGCTAATCCATATAGGCTTCGACATTTTACGGGTCAGGTCGGGCTAATTCATTTTTGGTGTGGGCTAGAAAACGGTCGGTCAATCCACAAGTACGTGGGTTACAAACTTGCCGAACCAGTCCACTTTTTTAAAAATTATATTAATTTTATAATTTTTAAATTAAATTATAAGTTATAATTTAAAAATATTATCATAAATATCGACTAAATAATATTACATGATGTTAATATTACTACTTTTTAATCAAATTCATATATAAAATTATCTTTATAATATATATTAAGTTTTTTTTAAATAAATAAATATCTAAATAGAAATATTAACCTAACTTTTTTGAGTTTGGACTCTCTTTAATTTTAAATTTTAATATTATATTATATTTTTAAATTAATTTTTATTAGCCCACGGATCGACCCTACCGATATTTCTCAAGCCCCACAAATCAGCAGGCTTATTCAGACCGGGCTAAAAAGCCCTTTTCTCAAATGGGCTCTAAAAATTATAGCTCAACTCTATTAAATTTCGGATTAGACCAGATCGACGTAATAGACGTGGCCCATTTTAACAACTCTAAAAGCAATCATTAATTGGTGATTGATATGTAATGCATGGAATGGATTGGGAACTTTGAAGTTATTATACAAAGATAAATTCTAAATTTGATTGAACGGTTCTAAGGTTTTTATTTTTTGTAGATTAATTGTGTTATCTCCACTTTTCAGAATATCTTATCAGCTTCATCACTTTCTCCCCGCTCTTTTCGCCTATATTTTGATATTTGTTTAAATCATAGTAAGTATTTTAAAAAGTATAATTTTCTATTTACATATCGAATATCGAAAAAATAGAGTAAAAGATCAACTTATATACTTGTAATCTGTATCAAATAAATACTAACATTTTGTTTGGATTATTGTTACCTTTTGTTAAATAATGTATTGTACTATATTGTACTGTATTTTATTGTAGTTACAATGTTTGGCTAGATTGTATTGTTTGTTGTTGTTTAGTAACATTTTGATTGTTTGATTTGATTGTATCATACTGTATTGTACTTTATAGATTTACTTTAATATCCTTAATTATTCTAGAGTAGGAGGTTTGACTAGGTTAAAATAATTAAGTTAAAGGGTAAAATAATATTTTGAAATATTATGTGAAGATATTATTGGAAAAAGAAATTAAGTAACAATTGGGAACACACCAGATTGGTTGTTCCATAAAATAGAAATTTTCATTGTTACGTAACAACGAAAGTTAACAATACAGTACAATAAATTTTAAGTAACAATCAGAAAAAACATTGTAGGTATATTAACGATACAATACAATAAAATGAATAACAATAATCCCAACATAGTGTAAAGTAATGCAGAACACTCTAAAATAGCATTTGACCATAAATTTTACTAATGAAATTTCAAATTTATTTTTAAATATCAATTTGACCTTGAAATTTAATTTTAAAAATTTCAGATATTTACAAATTCCCCAAAAATGATTTTTACGTTTTTGGAGTTCTCATTCACAAAACTTTAAATTTTAAAAAATTAAAATGAATACTCAAATACTCAATTTTCTAAATTTAAATATCTACAAAATGTATGACTTTTTAACATCACCAAAAGTCTCATTTATGTTCCATCACATCATATTAATTAGTGAGCACAATATAAGAGTAAAAAAGAAAAAAAAAATTCGTCCTTCTAATACGTCACATTAATTTGTCTCTCAAAAGAGTACAATGAACCCCCAAATAATAATAATAATAATAATGGAAAAAGTTAAAAATATTCTTAAACTATCTGAAATAGCTCATAAATTTTTAAATTATATTTTGGCTCAAAATTATCCTTTTCGTCAAACTATTGGGTCAAAAGTGATTTTCTAATTAATGAAAAATTGTTAAATGCCATGTGGATGCCACATGACAGGCCAATAGACTTCCACTGTCACATATACTAAAAGGAAAAGGGTCAAAAATACACTTAGATTATCCGAAATAGCTCATATTTACCCTTAAAATATATTTCGGCTCAAAATTACCTTTCCCGTCAAAATATTGAGTCAAAAGTGACCTTCTTATTAGCGGAAGTTGTTAAGAAACCTTGACCCGAAATGACGGGAAAGTTGTGAAATTCTAGCTATCATACTTAGAAATCGTAAATATAATAAAATAAGAAAAAATATTTACTAACCTACAAGCATGAATATCCACTTTGAAACTCAGCCCCGAAGAAAGCTATGATGCCTTAGCTGATAAGGAAAAGTTGTAAAATTCTAACTATTATGCTTTGAAATCATAAACATTATAAAATAAGAAAAAATATTTACGAACTTACAAGCATTAATATCCACTTTGTAACCCATCCACGAAGAAAAGTATGAAACCCTAGCTGCGAAATGAGGGAGAACGGGTGAATATATCGTTTCTAGAAATAATAAAATGAGTGGGGGGGGGGGGGGGGAGCAATTAGGATTTAAGAATTTAGTCTATGAATGTTCCGAAACCTTATTGTTATGCGGGGGGGGGGGAGCAATTAGGATTTAAGAATTTAGTCTATGAATGTTCCGAAACCTTATTGTTATGCAATGTGGCATCCACATGGCATTTAACATCTTCTATTAATAATAAGGGTATTTCTGACCCAATAGTTTGACGGGAAGGGTAGTTTTGAGCCGAAATATAGTTTAAGGGTAAATATGAGCTATTTCGGATAGTTTAAGGGTATTTTTGACCCTTTTTATTTAGTTTACGTGGTAGTGGAATCCTATTAGCATGCAATGTGGCATCCATATGACATCCACATGACATTTAACAACTGCTGTTAATACGAAGGGTACTTTTGACCCAATAGTATGACGGAAAGGATAGTTTTGAACCGAAATAAAATTTAAGGGTATATGTAAACTATTTTGAATAATTTAGGGATATTATTTTAAAGCTTTTTCCATAATAATAATAACAATAATAATAATAATAATAATAATAATAATGAAATAATTCATATATTTTGATATATACAACTTAATATATTCTTATGTAAGAACAAAAATAAATATATTCAATTCTCCCATATTTTTTAAAAATAAATCTAGCTAGAAGAAAATACATGAAAAGCAAAAGCAAAATTTGGAAAAGGAAAATGAGTCATTTTATCCTAAGTAAATATGTGAAAAATAGAAAATAGGAAGATAATTACTTTGACTAATATAACTTCAATATTAGTCAAAATATATTACAAAAAGTAAAATCTAAAAATATAATATATAAGCAAATTTTATCCTTATTTTGTGAGATTGAAAAAACTATTTTGTTATCGATAATTCTTAGTTTAAGACAAATATGTCTTAAGATATTAGATGGGCTAATATATCGTGTGAAAAAATAGAAGAAGGAAGATATTATTTTGATCAATATTTAGACGTCTTTCAATATTATACTGTTTGATCAAATTGTTGAAAGATCACAAGTGTTTATTATATTTTTCTTACCAAAGTGATTATTTAAAGGCGAGCATTACTTTTAGTCATCTCTCCGTTCATTAACGGGTATTAATATTCTTGATCGAGCGGTCAAATGTGTAACTTTCCGAAAAAGTAGCATCATTGTAGGAGAATTCACAACGCCCTATTCAAATGGGCTTCAGTTAAGCCCAATTCATACTAGGCCCAGGCCCATTAATTTCTCTTTACTTAAATCTCTCAACTTACAAAATTTTCCAGCTAACGTAGAACGAAATAATTTTGAAAAATCTGTGAACTCTTCGAAGCTTAAAAATTCAATGGCGTCACCGGATACCGATGTGCCGATGGTTCCCGCCGGCGAGAGTTCAACCGGAGCTGGAACGTCTAACAAAAAGCCGAAGCGATTTGAGATCAAAAAGTGGAACGCCGTTTCTCTCTGGGCTTGGGGTGAATTTCTAACCCTAATTAATTCCATCGTATTTTATATACGTATTTATTGATGTAGATTTAACGATTTTATGCTGGATTTAAAGTAATGGAATCCGGTGATCTATTTAGATTTTAAATCAGTGATTGCGAAGTACTATTGCTAGTTTTTGCTGATGATGTTGTGAACTTAGTGCAAGTGTACGTTTAGGAACTTTATAGTTCGAATGTATGTATGTACGTTTTTCAAGGCAAAGGTAGTGAATATTCCTACGCTCGCTGCTGAAAAATTGGATGTATGATGGATGATTGTATGGAATTTGATTTGTAAACAGCAGCACTATGTGTATTGGCTTACGTGAAATTAGTAGTGAATGTCAGTCCAAAAATATGAAGTTTGTGTAATGTACTAATGGTAATATTGTTTTGTTACCTGAGCTTGTAGTTGATATCCGTGAATCGGAATTAGAAAGGAATATTGACTGGAAGATGCTTACAGCAATTTGAAGTTATTTGTATCTTCTTTTAGGAGGTGGTTTGATCATAGATGTTGACGATTTATCATCTATCTTTTAAGTTTGATCGTGTTCAATGTACTGTTCTCTTTGTAGTACTTATTGTTACTTCTATAAATAAAAATTGTTACATCTTATGTTACTATTTATGGTTTACATTCAAATATATTATGATGTATGAGCAGTTCTGTACTTCCATGATTTTGTGTTGCACATAATATACAATTATTGTATTTGTTTTGTTTGGTGTGAATTTGATTTTCTTCAACATGCTCATTGTCCGAATTGCGTTGGAGTGATCTTTCTGATTCTTTTTATCAATCTTGTGAATTGTGATTTTGGTTGCAGATATTGTGGTAGATAATTGTGCCATCTGTAGGAATCACATCATGGATCTGTGTGAGTTTTGGCTCTCCTTTCACTACTGTTCAATCAATGTTTCCTTTTCTTTGGTATGATATCATCATGAAATCTTTTATCCTCTTAATAGTTGATTTAAGTTGTATGCTAATTTTGATTAGGTATCGAGTGTCAAGCTAATCAAGCTAGCGCAACAAGTGAGGAATGCACAGTTGCTTGGGGTATGTAGCTCTTGTTATGTGTGAGAATATCGATTTAACATTTTAGTTTGTTAATTTGCGGTGAGTTCCAAATATTGTATGACTAGTATCTTATATCTCCTCCCACTGTATCTTGCCTTATGATCTATCAACCAACAGAATGACCCACAGACGCTCCTATGCATTGCAAATCCTCCTTATTAACCATGAAACTAAGTGAATAGGAAACTACCAATATCAGTATATTACTAAAGTAAGGATGAAGTAGGAAGTCATGTAGTTACTGGGGAAAAAACGAAGAAAGCTCCTTTTTTTTTCTGAGAAAGGAAAAAAAATATTTATGTTTCGTTTTGTTTTAGCAGTTTTTTTTTTGCCAGGAGTGTACTTTCTTTTGATGCTTAGAATAATAATGAAAATGTTCTGTTTCTTCTTTTGATCCTCAATACAAAACAAAAAACCTTTTTGTGGTCACGTTTTCGAGAAAACCCCTCTTTTCTTTTTTGAGAATATTGCTTTCCTCGGATTTTGTTATTGGGGATGGTCATGTTGAAGGTTGCTGAAGAAATAGATAACTTGGAGCCATTCCATTGTGTATGAAGTACCGTAGTACTGAGTTAGCACTTTTCTGGAGCATAGGATTACAAGCTTGAGAAATTGTTCTTTCCATTCTTGAAATGAGAGTGCTCTTTGTATGAGTACGGTGTTCTCGTGCTGTATTTTCTAATTTAAGTCAGTGATTATGTCTGTTTTAAATTGGTTTTACTCGTTAGTTATCACCATATGGTAGGAAAATAACCTCCCTCCTGCAATTTGGTCAAAATTGAAATTGTGGTAGCTTGAGATATGCAAGCCATGTGTTGATGGTATTGAACTTACATCATCTAGCTGGTCACCCACTCGTATGATTCCATGTTAACAACCATGTTAAACTTTTCCTTGAGTTTCGGCGACATACCAGATATAATTGTAGTAAAAAAACCAAAATATTAATTCTGCAATTAGATTATTGTGTTATAGTGAAGTCTGGTGGCTGGAATGTCTTCTATAATTGTGTTATAGTGTTGCTACTATTTGTAGAATAAGATGTTAATCAGTAGAGGTGCAAACTGATAAGGCATTAGTCACAAAAAGTTAGAGGATCTTCATGCCTCTCCTCAAGACTTTTGTTGTAGCTAGTGTTAAGTTTATATTGTGGTAAATGTTACATTGGATTTGCTCCAACTCTCGTGCACATGTCTTTCAATCTTTGACAATTGGTAATTGTCATTACTTGAGCTTGTTATTTGCCTTCTAAGCTGGTATCAGATTTGTGCCCATAAAATATTGTGGCATCCTTCCGCAAGAATTCTGGAAGATAACAAATAAGATACTCTTGACAAGGTACAGAGTGTCAAATAGTCCTCTGTGAAAAATCTACATTTTCTATTAACTGTATGAAATTAATGTTGGCGTAAACGTTACTCTACACTCACTAAACCTGTTTACGCCATTTTGGATATGGATTGCCATCTGTTATTCATCGGAAGGTCATTTTTTTTGCCATAACTGTTGATCATTGCAGGTGTTTGCAACCATGCATTCCACTTCCATTGCATTAGCAGGTGGCTCAAGACTCGTCAAGTGTGTCCACTTGGTAAGTTGTATATATATTGCCGTCTCTGCATACATAAGCTGTCATTGTACATTACCTGCTAATTAAGTACAACACACTTTCAGATAACAGCGAGTGGGAGTTTCAGAAGTATGGTCACTAGAATTTACTGTTGGTGTACAGTGAATGAGAGGAGCTTCAAAACTATGGTCATTACAGTTTTTCTGTCATCGACGTTGAAAAGAACAATTCTGCTGCCTTATGTTCCTTTCGTTTTTGCTCTGCAAATATCCAAAGCAATGACTCGAACTATGTTTTTAATTGTCGCATGTCTGTTTTAGGTTGCCTCAAAAGAATGAAATGTGTTTGGAGACTAACCATTTCTTATTCGAATTTACATATTTTCTTTGTTCTTCAGTGTTCATTACTATTTGTTGCTCTATTTATTTTGTATCGTGTTTTTTGCTGTCCTATTTTCGTTTAATTGTTTTTCAAATTCTACTTTTCTTGTGAGCCAAGGGTCTATTGATAACAACCTCTAAGGTTGATTGGTTATTTATGATTTTAAATTTTGACTTCGCCTATAGAAAAACACTTGTGAAATAGGCTTTTTTTTCTTTTTAGTGATAGTAACACCATTTTTTGTAAATGACTTTAAAGGTCATGTGTATATTGACAGATGCCCAAAGGTATTATAAATACAATCTTCTTTGCCTCCCGGGTTATTGATTATCGAATTTCGAACCTTTTCGTTTGTATGTAAAAAAGTAAAATATAATTTATTATGTATCAAATTATAAATATTTCATTGGTTCATAAAAATAAATACGAAAGTAATCAAAGTATTGAGAACACGATGATAAAAATAACTTTGATAAGGACTAACATTGAAAGATGGTCATATTAAAGTTTACGACTTATTTTATGATAAAATTGAAGATAAAAAGAAAAGATTTGGTGAGACTATTAGGTAAATGACTGTCATTCATAATGCATCGATTTTATCAAAGAAAAACCAACAACATATTCACGGTAATCACATAAGGTGGAGTTAGGGGAGGATAGATTACAAATCTTTACTTTACCACTTAGCTCGGAAGAACCCCAAAAAGAAACAAAAAACATTAAAGGTAGATAAAGAGAGAGTATAACAAAAAAAAATAATTTAAAGATAGATAAAGAGATCTATTTCCGATAAATCCTCATCTCGAACAAACCAAGAACCAAACAAAAGAAGGAAATGTTGCCGAAGAGATTCCACTAGCCAAACGAGTCGATCATTTATGACGTCCTTCTACTCCTCCATCAAGGAAGAACCAACAACATCATATCCCCTGTAATCCCATAATGTTGAGCTTCTCGAGGATAGACTGTACACAAGTAGGTTACCACTACCTCAGAGCATACGCAAATCTTACTTTATAACCCCATTCATAAGAACAAAAAAAAAAAACTTAAAAGATAGATAGAGTATTTTCGATAGACCCTCCACTTGAAAGAACCAAAAACCGAAAAAAAAAAAAAGGAAACGTCGCCTGAGAGATTCGAACTCTCGCGGGGAAACCCCATGTACTTAGCAGGCACACGCCTTAACCACTCGGCCAAAGCGACGATTGTTGATACTTTAACAAAATATAGTTAACTATTCAACAAATACTTATCCAAAAAATAAAAAAATTGGGAAGTATTTATTAAAGAATTTAGAAATTAGAAGAATATTTTTCACCTAATGATAATTAGGGCACATATGATTATTCTTAATACGTATACACCATTAAGAATTCAAAAGTCGAATTCAACAGTCAGAGTGGATACGAAATAAGTTTGTCTCTTTCATATGGATATACTATAGATGTTTTTATTGCATATATTTTATGTAATTTGAGGCAAATATAAAGAATTCAACTAAGCAATAAAATCGTTATATTTACCTATTTTATTTACTAAAAAAAAATTATAGCAAATAACTTCAATTCAAAGTCATAAAGATTCTATTACCCACAAAAGTCTACCCCTATTGAAGAAATGTCACACACACAAAGTTATAAAGAAAACATGTAGATGGTCTATTTTCAACTTGAGAATATTCCTTTATACAAATAATTAGCAATTAGGCAACCAAACTTCAAAAGGTTCAAGTACCCTTTATTGAAATTGCTTGTAAAAGTCATTCATTATATTTAAACTACTAATATAATATTAAAATAGAAAGAAAAAAAAAACATACCCTTTTAATATTGCTTGTTAAACACACTCAATTATTAGTAATATGAGAAGGTTAAAATGGAAAAGTATAATATACCTTTTTGAATTGATTGTGAACGACATTCAATTAATTAAACTAATTAATATGGTGATTGTTTGGTTCATTTTTTTCTTTGATTTCTCGTCCAGTGTTCAGTATTCATATTATAGATGACATAATAAAGTTTTGTATTAGACGATAAAACACTCTCTAACCATTAAAGATAACCTTGTACCTAGTAAAACTCAAGCCTGAAATATCTGATTAAGGATATACAGGAATTGTTTGATTATTATACTAGTTATTTCAAATATCTCATGAATAATGAAAGGATTATATATTGTCACATAATTACTTACTATTAAGTGTATTATATTCTTCTCTTTAAATAGTTTGATCCTTGCATATTGCCAATATACATATACTTGTTTCGTTTTATTTTATTTTGCATAAAATAATACATAAACAACTTAATGTATATTAATTCATAATTCCATCGATTACAAAATGTTGCAATAAATGATTCTATGATCGCTGAATAGAATTTAGTGATAGATCTTAACGTTAATTTAGCTATAAAATTTATCTATCGAGACTTTGTTGTTTTAGTAGTGTAAGGTACAAGCAATACAAACTTTCAAACTCCATGTTGTAGTCAAGAAGATTCTTGAAGTTGATACAATAAGTCAATCAAGACTCTACCAAACTTTGATTATTATTTTTTCAATAATCATTTTTTTTTTTTACATATTATAACCTATAAATACACATACTATATCAATTTTGTTGTCAAAAACAACCACAATCAACTCAAAAAAAAAAGTCTCAAAAATGGCTGTTGTTGTTAGTAAGGTGTTTTGTTCAAATTATGAGGTTGTTCTTGTAGTAAGAAGTCGTCCACATGTTGTAAATGGTGGTGGATTTATAGTCACAAATAATTGTACACAAAATGTTGTTTTCAAAGTTGATGGATGTGGAATTCTTGGTAAAAAAGATGAAGTTATTCTTAGAGATAGTGATGGACATACTTTGCTTCTTATTAGGAAAAAGGTAAACATTTGTTATTAGTACATGCATGTTTTCACCAGTTTTTCTCGAGTCGAGGGTCTACTGAAACTCTCCACCTCACAAGATAGAGACAAAATAAAGGTTTATGTATATATACTCTATCCTCTCCAGATTTTGCTTCGTTGGATTTATCTGATATGTTGTTATTATTGTTGTATGCATGTTTCACTTATGTGATATTCCCCCCCACCCCCACCCCAAATTATTTACTTAAATGCATACACATGCATACATATAATATGGCATCGTATACGAACGATAAACACGTATATAGTTATCTTTTGACTTATCCATGTTAAGATTATCTATTTTTATCTATTTTTTATGAGCATATATACGTTAATATGGAGTTATCTTTTAGACGAACTGACATATTTTTTACAAATGTCTAATCTCACTTTTTTTATGGATATACATAATGGTTAACATTTATCTTCTTGTCTTATTTTTCATTGAGACAAATCTCACTTTCCATGGATATGCATAGAGTAAAAGTTTCTAGAAGTTATACTCATATATATATATATATATATATATATATATATGAAAAAAGGTCTAAAACATATTTATCTAATATAGTTATCTCATTTTTAGTAAATCGAAGAATGACAGAGGCTCTCTCTTCTCTTCCCGGTAGTAGGCGAGGCAAAATAACTCTGAATCTTGAATTCGACTCTAATGAACCCTACCCCCCCCCCCCCCCCGCAAAGAAATTTTAAGTTCGTTTTTAAATAAATATTTTCAACTTTAAAATAATATTTTTTCACGTCGTTCCTCGACCCCCTCCCCCTCAAAAAAAAAAAATTAAGCTTATTTTAAAAAAATATTTTTAACTTTAAAATTTTATTTTTTGCCATCAATTTTCAGGGAGGAGTAATTGAAGCACTAAGCATGCAAAAGAAATGGAAGGGTTATAGTAAAGATTTTGAAGGTTCTGAAAAATTGGTGTTTTGCTTGAAAGAGCCTAATAATTCTTGTTTCTTCAAGAAAATGCCTATCAAGATTTCAATTGAATCAAATCATGACTACAAAAATCACAAGAATTTCCAAATTTCTGGTCATTTTCCTGATAGAGCTTGTAGCATTATTGACTCCAATGGCAATGTAGTTGCAAAGGTAAAATATGAAGTATACTTTTGCTTTCTAAGACGATTTTTTTCAAGAACATCAAAGGTCTTATCGAAAATAACCTTTCATATAATGTCTCAATGAGTATGCTATTGTTGGTTCTTTCAAGAACTTGAAAAAACAAACATGGAAGCGGGAAAAGTCGTTTCACTAACAACAATATATTATCTTTTACATTGTTCGATTGCTTAAAGATATCTACAGATAAACCTTTTTAAATATGTAGTTTGCAATCTTGAAAATAAGATGCGTTGCCTGGTATAAGATAAAAATGACTTGATGGTATAAAAATCCCTTCATACTCATGGACGGAACTAGAGAGACGGAAGGGGATTCATCATGAACCAAACCCCTTTGTCAAAAAATCACGTTAAGTTATAACATATAATGAACTCCCTTGATATGAAAACCATGTTTTCACCAATCATTCCTTAGGCTGAGAGTATATAACTTAAACTGATAAAATTATATTATATACTTTTTATAAATAGTAAAAATAATTATAGCCTATGCAGGTTGGAGCTAGGAAAGAGTTACAACAAGTGATGCCAAACAAAGATGTGTACACATTGACTATTAAGGCAGGAATAGATCAAGCATTTGTTGTTGGAGTTATTGCAATTCTTGATTACATATATGATGGATCTACAAGATGTTAATTAATTAATTAATCAATCTTTTTTTCTATATATAGTGGCAAATAAGAAAATGGTCACCACTTATTAATTACTCCTAAAGTTATATGAAAGATTCTTGTCATAGAATTGATGAGAATATTGTTTCATTACAATCTTTAAATTACTTTTATGTATTCAATTACGTACGTACCTTGTATTCAATGAAAATGAATATTTATCTATTAATTTATGATGTTTTTGGCTAGAGACGAATATAATCTCTAATTGCTACAAATATAGAAGTTAATAATTTAAAGGAAAAAATAGTAAACTAGTCAAAATAAATAACATATTTAAATAACATATTTAGTAACAATATTCATACTTTATAAATATTAGCAATAATGTCAAAAATGTCATTATTTTAAAAAATTTATGTATCCCAATTTTCTTCCTATTTTATCTCTCTCTTTCAATTAATTCTATATATTTAAAAAAAAAATCATTCTCTCTCATATTTATCTTTTCAAATTGTTAATTCTCTCTCCCATTTAATTTTTTTTCTCTCTCATTGTTATCTTTTCTGATTTTCCTCCAACATTCAAGTTGCAAATATTTTTTTGTCATATATTTTGGTTGTTTTTTTAATCCAAAATTGAATCAACCAGAATTCCTTTGATTAAGGTATCTCTAATCTTTATCCTATTTTCAGATTTCTTTTCTAATTTTATTTTTGTTTAAATATTAAAAAAATATTGTTTATATTTTTCAATTTCCGTTATGATTTACTCTCCAATTGCTGAATCCAAGAGGCTTACTAGAGGTATTCATCTTAATCAACCAATTTCTGGTGATTTTTCATTCTTTAATTTATTTATTACTCAACAAATAGTGTATAATGTATGATTCGCTGCTAAAAAGAGGGAAGAAAGAGGGTAAGAACATTTACAAGACTCATTGGTGTGCAAAACCTTTCTCAAATTCAGAACGCAAATGTAAAATCTTTGTTTACTCGTGAGGATCTTGAAAAGGACGACGAAGATCGGATAGTTGTCGAACAATTTTCTATTAGTTTGTTTTGTATTTATAAATTCTTTTTTAGAATTTGGTATGCTTTCTTAATTTGTATTCAAATCACTATGTATACTATCAATATTTGTATTTATTAAAAATTTCATGTTGCATGGTTTATGAATCTTGTATTTGTCCCTAATTTGTATTCATCCAAATGTATGTCAACTAGTTATGTATTTTATTTATAAGAAGAACAACTTTTTATTAGTTTATTTGTATTTGAATACAAATACAAATAATAGACATATTGGAATGAATACGACTTTGAAAAGGTAACAAGATTTTGAAAAGAAAAATAAATACACAGTGAAAAATATATACGAATACAAATGTATTTCTTAAATAGCTACATTTTATTTGACATACATATTGGAATGAATACAAACTAATAAAGGTATGTCTAACTGAATTTGACATTTTTTTCTAATTTGTATTTATTCTAAAGGTATGTCAACTAGTTATGTATTTTATTTAAGAATGAGTACACCAAATATTCAATTATTTCTTTTCAATTTTATATTTCATTCACTTTTTCATCATACTAATTTTTTTGTATTATATATATTATTATACAAAATTCTCAATAAAAACTAGAATAAATAGAAATACAAATAAAATACATATTGAAATGAATACATACAGGATTTTTGAAGAAAAAAATAACTATATAGGGAAAAAATATATGAAAATACAAATATATTTCTTAAATGACTATATAGATAAATTCGGCATACCTATTGGAATGAATACAAACTAATAAAAAACTATAATAAATATAAATAGAATATATTGTGGAATGAATATAATTTTAAAAAGGTAAAAATTCTGGAGAAAAAAAAACAAAATTTAAATTTTATTTGAAAATGTAACTGATGAGAAAATTAAGGATGCTTGCCTTTTTTTTGAATATTCCCCCTTAATTTTCTCCTTTTTGTTATTAAATAATTATATTCTTTAAATAAAAATAAATAATAAAAACATAAATAAGATACATAACAAACTAAAATGACATTTTTACTAAATATTGAAATTGTTGCTAATGGGTTCTCTTAAATGCTAAAATATTGACATTTTGAAAAATTTCCCTAATTTAAATGAATGATTTATTCAGAACCCACCCAGTGAACAAAAAGATGCATTGACTAGTGCAAGAAGAGAAAATTGTATATTTTTACAGAATAAATTTGTTCAGATATAAAACAAACGACGACATACCCAATATAATTGTAGTCTTACAGAGGGTAGAGTGTATACGAATGTCTTATCTGTACCTTGAGAGGTAGAGAAGTTGTTTCTAATAAGATCCTCAAATCAAAGAAAAACACATCAAATAGGAAATAGTGAAAGTGAAGAAATCATCGCAAAATACTATAAAAAGCATGATATAACAATCTAGAGAAAAAAAAGGGGGCAAAAACAATGATAAAATAGTATGATAATCAAAGTACAAAAGATCGTAGATAGATAATGATAGAAGGATTCAAACGTTTTGTTGAAACTAAGAAGATCCCATGAAATGTTACATTCGACAAATAGAAACTCATTTATCAGCATATGCAGAAGGATTGATAGCAACTAACAATCAAATGGGATCTCTTTTGCAAGTCTTGATAGCAAAACATACATTTCTAACAGAAAACGGACTGTGTATCATGTGGCTAATCAGTCACGCTCACTGATGGCTGTTAAGTGCTCGTCGATTTCCTCAGTAGTTAACACTCTAAAGACGGGATCTTCTTTTCTCACAACACCAACCTGTCAAAGACCAGAAGACATTATGGAACGAAGCAGGGAAATGATTGCACTACGATCCCACCTAAGACGATAAAGGTCAAACCAATCGTGTGATAAAGGTCTCATTTTTATCACGTGGTGGTGGGATGGTCACGTTCCCAGGTGCAACTCAAGTATTTCATAACGTAATCAATCCCCAATCAAGAATAAGAAACGACTCTTTTGAAAAAAAACCAAGGAATAGTAAAAATCACTGTGCTCCCCCCCCCCCCTTCCTTTTCTCTTTCGCTCAAGAGGTGATCAACACTGGCAATAATAACTGCAATAACCAATGGCAGACAATATGTGGAAAGAAACAAATTACCTCAATTTCACTGGCCTTGAAATCTTCTTGCAGAACAGATTGAAGAGCAGAAATAGTGGTCTGCAGAACAACAAATAATGTATCAGCAACAGTAAGGTGCATCCTCTGAACTTTAACATCAGACCTCATAATACACATGGAAACCAAAAGATTGCATGAATAGAATATACTGAAAACTTCACATATAAAATTGTGCTCGATCTTCATCAAATGTAGACTAGTACGATTTATTTCAAACATCTGCAAAACTGTAAGCACTAGCCGACTTAAGAGTTCTAAGGCTTTAGCGAATCCATTTACCTGTGCTGGTATATGAGAGATAAAGCCACTTCCAGATTTTATTAGGAGGTTATATCAACTTTAATGTCTTAAATTTAACAATAACTAAATCTCAAGTTCTATTTTCTATCAAAATTTCTGTAGTCAATTACACAATAAGATGGGAAATTGTGTAGTCTTTTGCTAGTATATACAGTGACGAAAGGAACAACAGAAAGATAATAAAAGCCTAAAACCAAATCTGGGTACACCCTTCCCTTTTTACCTGAACAGTTTCCTCATAGGAGAACGCAGGGTTATTTTTCATTTTCTTCTCCAAAAAGTTAATTGCCTCTTGCTCTTTAGATCCGGCACTTGTAGCCTGCAACCAAGGTCGATAAATGTCATTCAGTCATAAACAAGAAGAAAAGCCAGCAAAGTATCAATACTTCCAAAGAATCTTAACACATGACTTAAAAGCCCTTAATGTCCTCTCATCCACTATAAGATATTGTGGGAGCATAAGCAAAGGAAGTAGTCACCATTTGCAAGTACTTACGGAATAGGACACGGTGTTGCTACATTTGGGTCTTATAAGGTCAGTGTAAACTACAATTAAATATTAAGAAAGCAAATCAGGGAATCATGAAGTCTAGCATCTACCTTTCAACTCATCTAGAAATCCTTTCATATGCATGCTTCATTTCATATTGAAAAAGATGGGTGATAATAGCAAAATATCATTAATTTCCTTACAAAAACTAAATCAGGTTTTTAAATCCAAAGTAAAATCATCCTTTAAATCACAGAATTTTGTATACTTTTAAATAGAATGAATTATAGTAGGAATTTTAGGACTAAAGTTTTCATGTGCCACTTGAATCGTCGGTTGGCTTATGTGCTGTTTACAACTAAGCTACAAAGCGGTGCTAGGATATGATTGAACACAGTGGGACAATATGGCTAGAAAAAATTTGGTGTAGCTCGAGTCTATGGTACATTGGCATGAAAAAAGAAAGATGCCACTCAATGTTATAAATTTGAGAGATAAAGGAAGCACCAAATGGGGCTATCTGTAAGCAGGAAAAGTTTGATCAGCTTTTATTCAGAGAAAAACATCAAATTCAGCAAATACCTTATGACCAAAAAAATGACCAGCAGGGTCACATTTGAAGAGCTGGGGCCCTTTCTCCTCATCAATGCCCAAAATCATAGCAACTATGCATCAAAAAAGGGACACAAAACAGGAATTAATAAAAATGTAGGCCTAAAAATGCATTCCCCTCCTTCCTCACCAACAAAAAGAAAAGTGGAGACGCTACACAAAGATCAAAGGGGCCAGCAACAAACCTACTCCAAGGGGTCTCATATAGGCATGCTGTGTGTAAACCTGGGACTTGTCCGCGATCCTGAAAATCATTCTCTATAGCTCATTATACAATTCACTGATAAATTAGAGATGGATATTCCTCATGCATATGTACTTTTATCTGTTCAGCATTCTAGCTCATGTATTTACACAGTGCCAATTTAAGAGCATTTATAATATTCTCAAGCTATTTAACTAGCTTTCTCTAATAAACTAAAACATTTGATAGCTTTGGAAATTAGAAGTTGATGGAGAAAACATATAAGATATGACCTATCATTAGCTGCTTCTAGCCTACCCACAATCTGCATTTCCTTTTAAGTAACCAAGAGAAAGACCATTGAGGATGGCACTCTGCAGAATTAACTGGACAAGTACAAAGAGAAAAATATTATGAAGCATAGGGAATACCATTTAGACAGTACATCTGCTGGCATTTCATAACCATATTTAAAGCGAAACTCAGCAGCTTCATTTCGAGCTTGTTGAACCAAAGTTCTTGCATCAGCTGAAATTGAGGACAAGTTAAAGCAAATTACGGTATCATAAGGCTCTGGAAGGAGCTATGCAATACTATTCTCATAGTCACAGATGAAAGCCATATGATACATAGCTAAATCAACCTAAAATACAGCAAGTGGATAATTTTTTACTCAAAGTTCTCTAATTAGTTCATAAAATTAAATCAATAGCCTCAGTTGTGAAGTGTGCTCTTTTGGGGCTAAGCAACCATGCTAAAAGAGATTGGTAGGCATCCCCACTGGAAAACTGAGAGTGCAAGTTTTCACATTTTAGTCACAAATATGCATTATCACAAAAAGGAAGATAAATCAATATGTTTCCTTCTGCTTACATAGAAAAAATAGATAGATATAAGATATGTCAAGAATCTTTACAAACTGATATTTAATCAAAAGAAGATCAAAACCATCACTCGCCACATACTCCTTGAACCCCATAAAAGAGTACAAACCTGTCATGCCAGTAGCCAATAGTCCAAGATACTTGGTAATTGGGAACAAATGGGATACACTGGTCTGATCCAATAGCTTGTCCTGCTCAACCAAAATACACAAAACTTCAAACTCCATGCAATTCAAAATTTCCAAAATTACGGGTCTTCAACACTATCTGATATATTCAAAACAATGTTGTCATCTTCTCACATTCCCCCAACCTTTGCTATATCAGTAATCTATAACTATATTGATCAACTAAGCTTCAACTTCAGATTAGCTAGGTCTGGTTTCATAATCCCCCAAGACTATTGACTGCTCTTCTTTACTCAAGCCCAATTTACTGGAATAAGTCTTTTAATCGCAAATTACGAGCTCTAGAAAACTAGAGGTTCCCTGAATCTCTCATTTTCCCTTGCACTGACGTTCAAGTTTCTTAACAGAACAAAAACACTGTTAAGTTACAAATTGCACCAAAAATTAAACTTACAGGGACTTTCCTCCAAAAAATAAACTTACAGGGACTTTACTCCAAGTAACAACAGGTACAGAATCAAACATCTAAGCTTCTATCATTTTATGAGTCCTCTATCTATTCTGCTTTATTCAAGCCTATTTCACTGGAATACTAAAAACCTTGTCACTGATCGCAAAATTAGGAGCTCTAGAACACTTAAAATTCCCTAAATCTCTCACTTTACTTACAATCCTCTCAAACAGAAAAAAAACACTAATGATTTACAAATTGCACCAAACATTGACACTTACAGGGACTTTCTTCTGAGTAACAACACAAACAGAGTCCTTTCCACGGACACCAATAGATGTGATTCCAGCTGCCTTCACAGCCTTAAAAGCATATTCTGTTCACACAAAAACAATAACAAAAAACCTAAAACTTTTCACAAATGACAAAAAATCGAACAAAATTACAATTAAACTAGAGAAAATTACTTACTAACTCCGAAATTCAAATCGAGTTTTAAGAAAAAAAAAGTGAAAATGCTTACCGACTTGAAAGAGACGACCTTCCGGTGAGAAGATCGTAATGTGACGATCGTATCCGCCTCCACTTCCTCGACTCATTGTTCGATTCTACGGTTTGATTTTCTCAGTTCGATCTGAAAATTTTTGTCGAACTGATTTAGGGTTTTTTTCAGTATAAGAAATGATAGATTTCGTGGAGAAGAAGAAGAAGCTTTGTTCCTGAGGTGTCTATTGAAGTTACTAAAATACCCTCTTTAAGTCTTGTTTGTCTAATCGAATTGTGATATTTATTATAGGTGTTTTTATTCGTTTATTGGGTAGTTAAGTTAATCATATAAAATATATCATTTTTCTCGATAAAATATGTCATTCGTCAATCTCAAATATAAAATGATAAAGTTTTACGATTTAGTGATGAGAATGCATATAATAAAAGGAGCATCAATGTCAAATAAAAATATTTGAAGTTTTTCGACTTACTAATGTGAATGTGTATAATTTAAGAAAATGATACGTTAATTATTTAATAGTGATTCTACTGTGTTTTTTGCACTTGACTGGGTGGACAGTTGACCGAAAGATAACTTCGATTCGACCGGCCAGCAGGCAAGCGCGCGTGCTTGACTTGTCACACTACAGAGCGAGTTGCTCCCCACCCTCCCTCCCCCAAAAAAAGAATAATTAAAATTGAAAATGTGCGACTGAAACATTGTATTAGTAGTTGATATGCTCAATTGACACATAAGATTGAGTATCTTAATGGAGTATCATGACAAGTCTAGCAAATTGTTTGGATAGTTGTTATTTATCGTTTCATAGTATATTGTGATTCATTATTTAATAAAAACTCCACGTAATGTTACATATCAATAATTTGAATGATAAACCTAAAAAATAAAGTGAGTTATGGGGTAAGAATTAAGATACTATGAAAAGGCACTGTGAAGGATAAAATAATAAGTAAGAGATAAGATGAAAAGAAAATATTAAGATATCGACGATCACACCAAATTAATCGTTATTCAAAATGAGACTTTTCGTTATTATCTAATGATAAATTTAAACAATAAGATACAATAAAATTTAAGTAACAATAAAAAAAATATAGTATTCAAACTAATGATACAATATCATACAACATAAAACGACTAACAACCATCCAAACAAATTGTAAGAGTCTAACTATATATTATGTTTTTTCTAAAAAAAAAAAAAAATTCTCCCAAATACTATAATGTGTTTTATGTCGAGACATTTTAATTTTATCGCAATTGATAACTAAACAATACAACTCATCTTTATTAAATACAACTCATCTTTATAGTATGATACATAAAATTTGAAGTATTTAAATAATGATTTTACAAATTAAAATATTTAATTTATACATAAATATTAAATTAAAGTATCTAGATATATATAATTAAAATTAATTTCATTTATTTAAATAGTATTTTTATATTTAGATGTCTCATGCTCAAATTCTTAAATAAACCATACTAGAAATTTAAAATTCAGATCTTCAAATCTTTAAATAAACTTTATACAATACTTCAAATTAATCGAAAATTAATATAATATTTGATATCAAGTAAATCTTTTTTTTTAAAAAAAAAAACAACAACAAGAGGGTGCACAAATAAAAATGGACATTCATAAAAACGTAAAGGTTACTCTTGACCTCGTAATTCACAAAATATTCATATTTGATTTGATATATAGTTTAAATTGATTTTTAATTTGTTATATAAGACATAATTCAAATATTTATATAATTAAAATTAATCTTTTAAAGTAAAAATAAAATTCAAAATCAAATAACTATGAATAAAATCATATTAAAAATGATCTTCAAATACTATTATAAAATTTAAATATGAAATAAAAAGAGAGAGTATTATTTTAGCGCCGTATTAATAATATGAGATCTACAAATGACTACACTTAAAAAGAGATAAATATAAAAAAATTATAAATTAAAATACTAAGCACAATCACTTCACAATTCAACTACTTTTTTACTAATCGTGATCTCTTCGTTCTTAATCACATAATATTTTATATTCAAAAAAAAAATCTATAAACAAACTTATATATCTTTTTTATTGAATGCTTTAAAAGTCCTAAGTAAAAAAAAAAATCTATTAAAAATGCTAACTCAAAAATAAATTAATAAAACTTTATTATGAATTATGAATACTGAACAATAAATTTCAATATGGAGAAATGAAAGTACTATATTTGTATTTTTAATTTTCTTTTTTAAATTTGGTGTTTGATTAAATTTGAATTCACTAAATTTAAATTAGGTAAAAAAGATAAATATACCTTTCGAATCAAAAGTAAATATTATGCAGACACTCTCCGTCATACTTTTGGAACATTCGTGCTCTCGTCGTCCATAAATTAGATCATATATATGTCCTTTACTCTAACGGAAGACAAAATAGGGACACATGACACAATCTTATCCGTTAATAAATGTCAGATCTGTAGATAAGATTATAACACGTATATCTCCGCTAGTATGAAGGGTATATATACTTTTTTTTTGAACGACAGAGATACCAATATCCCAAAAGTATGACAAATGATATATCATTCACAATAGTTTAATGATATATTTAAAATATTTAATTAATCGAAACAGTCTGATAACTACACCACAGTCGTCATCGGTTAATGTATTAGTATCATTTTCACACTAACCCCACCCCCACCCCACCTGTCCACTTCTTCTCTAACACTTCAATCTTCATGCACCTCATCTAGCCATTTTTTCTCTATTTTCTTGAATTGATTCTTAACTTCAGATGTTTTTCAACTCAAATTCATCATTCTTACACAATTTAATCTATTGATTACCTTCATAAATCATTTCTACATCATCAATCCTACGTTTTCCAGGTTCAAATTCATCCAATTTTTAGGTATGCATTTCGTGTATATAAATCAGATTCAATACAGCATTACTCTTTATCTTTTTGGTGTTTTGTGATATTGCTATATCTATATACTGGGATATTTTAGTATTGATTTGATTCAGATTGTTTTTGGTACCTTTAAATGTCTTAAAGATCCAATCTGTATAAAGATTTTGTGCGTTACTGAGTTGGGGTTACTGGTTTCTCTTGAGTTGAGGGTTTATCGGAAACAACAAATCTACTACAGGCAGTAGGGTTAAAGTGGTAAGGTCTGCATATACTCTACTCTTTTCGGACCTCACTTGTGAGACTATACTGGTATGTTGTTGTATGTATTTCTGCAGTGAATTATTGTTTTTTGTTTCTGATTTTGCTGGAATTGACATATTCCAGATACTGGGTATTTCAAGATTTTGTTTGATTTTAGTGTTACATTTTGTTGTTGCTACTTGTTCATTTCTTAATTGTTTTCAGCAGGGCTTCTTTGCTATTGTATTTGTTCGACATACTTATTTTTTGGATATGATTTAGTTGAGCTGAGTGTTTATTGGAAACCTCCTCTTTACCTGCATAAGGTAATGGTGAGGCTGCGTAGGAACCACCCATTCCTAGACTTCATAAAGCTACTATCTTTGGTTTTTACTAGTATTTATTAGATCCAATTGTTGTATATTTGTGCTCTGAATTTTGATTATGTAACTGGATTTTGTGGTAAATTAAATGTTTTGGGTACTGGGTTTTCAAATTTAAGCTCTTCATCCGTCTTGCGGCTGGTGCTTCTCTATATTTGATTATTATTATAATTCCTTCATGTTGGTAAAGCTGCTATCTTTGTATTGCAGTCTTAGTTGATGTGTGTGTTGGATACTCCAAAAGTAGTGCATTTTGGAGAATCCGATACGGGTGCGACAAGAATTTGGAGAGTCCCAGCAACATAGTTTGCAGTAGTATTAATGTTACTTTAATTATTAGGATTAGTTCGCCAGGTAGAAAATAATAGCGAGCAGGATGGATCTGCTTCAAAGATAAAATTTGGCCCAATCTTTAGTTGAAGGTGGCCAGAAAGAAGATGCAATGCATTTTTGTTATCAGTCCATGGTTTTGCTGGAAACTATCTATTATTGCAGGACATTACTGAACCGTGAACTCTTTAGAGTTGGAGTTGGACTGCGTACAGAAATATATTGATTGGGATAACGGGTGAAGGCAGGATGTTGTTTTTTCATAAGATAAAGTGGAGGAATGAAAAAGGGTCTGTTAATAGGGATGGACTTTAATTATTGGATGATTCTTTGTTGTGCTTGGACTCAATTGATTAAAATTGTATAATTTGATCAGCATCTTATGCTCTCACATCTAGAGAAGGAAGCTTATGGAAGACAGCTATTTTTGATAGAACAGGAGTACTATTTGATGCCGCTTCTTAAAGATGCCTACTTCCTGATTTGAGCGCTTGTAGTATTTTATAAAGTATTGTTGTCCATTATAATCTGTCGAATTTCTGCTTTCTATAAGTGTCTGGTTTGTGGTCCGTATCAAGATTTGTGCCTGTGAATCTTTGCACCTTTTTTGCACCAGAAATAGCACTCTTATTTTTTCCTCAATCATTTTACTTTCACTTATTGACAGATGTTACTCTGAAGCAAAAATAATGTCCATTGTGGTGGAATGAGTTCAAGTCCAAACATCCCTAAGCTTCAAGGATGAAGGGAGGTTTGAAGGTGTCACAGATCTCTCTCATCCTGATCGGATTCGTGTGTGCTTCTGTTCTTCTTTTGGCATATGTGAAGAGCCTACTTCTTTCTTCTTCAGTACTACCTCAGAATCATGTCTTGCAGCTTTCTCCAGGTTTGCATAAACCCTCTGACGTACCATTGCTGGATGATCACCTCTGTGAGTTCTGGGGGGTGAACATAGTGACAATTTTGGTTTGGCTGGATGATTACCTTTTGTCAAATGGTTTGGCTGGATGATTACCGCTGTGATCTTACTTTATGGTGGACATATTGCTGACTTTGTTGATCTAAGTGCATTTTGCTAAGCAGTAGTTTTTTGTTCTCAACTATTTATCTCCTTTGAGAATGGTCAAGTTCGTATATTTCTGCAACTAATTTTAAGTAATAAAGGCACTATCTGAATTAGGAGTTTAGGACTCAACTCCCTGGTGGAGATGTTGCAGGATCCTGTTGAGTTACTTATTATACGCTCTTCTCTTGCAGATCTTAGAGTGAAAGATGAAGAAGCTTTGGGAGAAGGAAGCGGATCGGAGCAATCACAAGACAGTGTTAACTTTGAATCTGAAAAATATCC